AATTTTGCCAGTACCCACAAATGCATACCAAAATATAGGTACAAACACATAAACACAGAAACTTTCCACCTTGGAACCTGTGTCATCGAAAGTCATTCAAAAGTGGTGAGGGGGGTATTCCGAGGGGCAAGCAGGATCGCAGCAGTTACTATCTGACCAACAGTGCACTTTTATTTTTACCTGAACTCTGTGGTAATGAGCTGAGAAAAAAATAGCCAAAGACACCAGGATTCCAGCAAGCCCTAAATCACCATCTATCGTAGAAATAGTTCATCCTCCTATCACAGGAAGCACAGGCACATGGCCTGAAGCTCTGCAATACTGTCCATAACTGCAAAAGTTAGGCTGACCTGGGCAAAAACTTATTGACACCATTGTTAAATCCCAAAAGTGTACTTCTGACTCTTGTAATGAAGAGGCAGCTGGGTAAACAGAGCTCAAATTCATATTTCCATGAAATAGAATTACTGCAGGTAAATGAAAAACTTAAGACCAGCGAGCTCTACAGAACCATTTGTTAGGAGTTGGAGCCTCAACTCCATCCGTGGCTCCCAAAGACTACATGGAGCCAGAGATGCAAAAGCAAAAAGGCTTTATTGCTAGCTTAAGCTAGGGCCCAACTCTGCCTGGTGTACTGACACAGCAGTCTTATCAGGTTGAGAGAGGGACCCCCTCCCAGAGCAACCAACTGTTTTTGTACTTTGCTGACAGGAGGCAGGGACTTTTCACACCATGGACCAAGTTCGGCCTGATTGGGTATCTCTCCTTGGCACTAGTTAAGCTTCGTTTACCCTTGTCTTGTGGTTTTTACCCCAGTCTGGTGGTTTTTGCCTTGAAATGAAACTAGGGCGTAGCTGTGCCCTAAAAATGTCTGTTTTTTTTAAAATGGCTGCTGTCTTGCTATGCCTAATTCTTTTTTTTTTTTAAGTGAAAGGTCTCTTTTTTTTTTTAAAGATTTTTATTTACTTATTTATACAAGCACTGGGTACAGTCAGAGGAGCAGGAGGATGAGAGAATTCACCAGAGCCAGAGTGGAGAGTAAAACAGAGAGAATGACGAAGTACACTGCCGAGGGGAGCAGGCGGCAGGAGATGTCTGCGCGCTATGTGGGACCCTCGCCCGGTGACCAGGGAGCAGCCGGAGATCAAACCGGCGCTGCAGAGGCTGCAGGCAGCTTCGCAACCAGCGCTCAACTACTGTGCCACCGGGGAGGCCCGCTATGCCTAATTCTTTAATATCTTACACATTTATTTCATAATTAGCTAAAATTCAAAGACCACATAATATTTAATCAAGTCCTATTTCTTAAAACAAAGTCAGAGTAATCCTGTTGAAAGAAAACTAATACATATTCTTAGTGTGAAAGAATTAACAGGATACTGTGCATAGGGGAAGAAAGGGTTAAGAGTTTTCTAATAAAACACCCCAAGTTATTCATCTCCTCCAAGGTAAGTGTCCAGTCAAACAGGATTGGCCCAAAGCAGGCCACTGAAGCCCAAAGCTTGCCACCAGTCTAAGGCACCTTCTGGCAAGGAACCACAGAAAATAGGTATCAGGTGGCAAGCAAGTCTGGAAGAAAAATTGAAAATAAAGTACAAATCATGTAATGGCTGCCATTGTCGGCCTCCACCCACCACCCCTCTCCCAAGTGTCTCTCCATGTCTCGGATTCCACGGGTCCTTCCGTGTCCCCCAAGTCCACAGTACAAGTCCAAAGCTGAGAAGCGAGCAGGACTTCTTTACGTGTCTCTGCTCCACAAGCTTCCTCCAGTCTCCCCTCGGGGCTCTCCTCCCAGTTGTCTTCAGCTTCTCCTCCCCACTAGCTCTGCCCTTCATTAGGTGAGGCAGGCCACACAGAACCTCCCTTTTTACGAAGATTACACTCTGTCACAGTTTCATTTCTCACAATGTGGGGCAGTTGTAGTTTTTTGGACCAAGGTTAGTTTAAGAAATCAACAAGCAACTATAAAGCAGAGACACACCAGGGAGAGGCGGGGAAGAGGAGGAAGTAGGATCAAAACAAGGGGGTGTGGGAATTGTATAGGGACTATAACCAAGATGAAAATGCATATTGTGCAAAAATGAAAAAATGACGTAAAAAATGTATAAAATAATACATTTTATATATGGCACAGCGGTTTAGCGCTGGATTGCGAAGCTGCCTGCAGCCTCTGCAGCGCCGGTTCGATCCCCGGCTGCTCCCCGGCCACCAGAGGAGGGTCCCACATGGCGCGCAGACCTCTCCTGCCGCCCGCTGCTCCCCTCAGCAGTGTACTTCGGTCCTTCTGCCTGCTCTGCTCCCCGCTCTGGCTCTGGTGAATTCTCTCACCCTCCCGCGCTTCTGACTGTACCCAGTGCTTGTATAAATAAAGATAAATCTTAAAAAAAAAAAAAAAAAAAAATGAAAAAAGAAAAAATACACAGCTTTAAAGTATGTTCTTCCAGGATAAACTGCTGGTATATGGAGTGACAAGACTTGAATTTAAATGCTGTGAACACAACTTCCTCTCTTAGCACCTATCATTTATGACATTTTCTATTTAACACCTTCATTTTCTCAGTCAGTGGCAGAGAAAATGAGATCCAAATTGCTGCCAGCCCTGCACAGCAGCCTGGGTGTCAGGGGTTCCTCAAGGATGGGAGGGCGTTGGCACAATTGTGGGTTGAGGGCGAGGGAGAAGGAATGAGGAGATGCTGACACAGGATCAGGTGCAGGCATCATCCTGCTGAGGTCTCAGAGGCCCTTTAAACATTTTAAGCAAAGCAGGAGTGTGTTAGCATATGCATTAGTGCAGGAAGAGAACAATCCCATCTTTCCAAGAACAGCCAAGGGTTTATTTGCCCTCCTGCAGAGGTCGTGACCTTTATTATTTTTTGATTTAAAGGAGGCACTTTTGCTAAACAAAAGTGTTCTTAGAATAGTCATTTATCTTTTATTACTAGCAAAAAGCTTATGTGACTGCAACTAACATTTCTATGTTTACCTTAGTGAAGGATTAACTAGCACAGGAAGTTACCTGGGGAAGGAAGATGCATTGACTCTTCCCTAGACCCAACTCTCAAGTATGGGAGGCATTTTCCTAATCTCACAGAAGAGTTTTTTTTACCTATTACTCCTCAACTTATCTAGTCAGCCTAGTTTTCATATCTAACTAAGATCAAGGGAAAATTTCTTTTTCTGTGAGATTGCTGATTGTTGTTTGTAGTTGTGAGCAACTACAAATAGTTCATCAGAGGCAGGGCCAAAGATGGTTAGAGCTTTTGGTTTTCAAACATGGTTAATATGTAACATATCAGTAGTTGTAACATTGACAACTTCGGAGTGCATTATTTGTGCTGCCATGGTTATTAGCTCAACCAGTCACAAAATTGCTGTTGACTTATTCTTGAATGCACACTCTAACAGCCACCATACCTATTGTCACCTCCAGGGGAATTAGCCCTAAACAAACAGGAAGAATTTAGCAGGAGCCTGCTATGGCACCTCCTGGCTTATTAGGAATTTTCTTACACTGGAGCATGGCTCATGTCTGCCACCCAACTGCTATCTTTAACTTTATTTAAAAAAAAAAAAAAAAAAAAAAAAAGATTTATTTATTTATTTTTTATAAATACAAGCACTGGGTACAGTCAGAAGCAAGGGAGGGTAAGAGAATTCACCAGAGAGCAGAACAGGCAGACTGACTAAGTACACTACTGAGGGGAGCAGCGGGAGGCAGGAGGTCTGCATGCCATGTGGGACCCTCTCCTGGCGCTGCAGAGGCTGCTGAGGGCAGCTTCACAACCCAGCACAGAACCAGCCAGCACTGAACCTCTGTGCCACCAGGGAGGCCCTATCTTTAAAGTAAGAGAATTTCCTTCTCCATTTAGCCCTTGCCACAAAAGACCACATATCCATATTAAAGACTTGGCAGAGAGATATCTACAGCCTTTTGTTCCCAGTTTTTTCACTTGTTAATGTAAGGCCAAATGTTGAATTGCTGCCTTTTGGCAGAGAGTTACTAATTTTATTAAAAATGTAATATTTATATCACACTGTGCCATTTGCCATCAAATTGTTTATTCAGTAACTGATCAAACAGCATGTACAGTTTTACTTTTAAATGCGTATTTTAACAATGGTAGAAACTAGCCATAAACAAATGAGGAGAAACAGCAGGAGTCATCTAACAAGATTCCTGACTTTTAGGAACCTGCCCCATGCCTGGACCTTTGTCTACGACAAGAGTAGCACGGCTCCCAGTACCAAATATTTGACAGAGGTCAGGAGGCCTCATTTTTCCTCGGGAGAATAGAAATTGATAAATTAAGAGCCTCTCCTAGTGTGCATGATATTTAGGAAAAATCTAACACAGGGCAAGTGATACACCCTGTTGATAAATAAAGGATGTCAAAATGCAAAAGAATGGAGACAGCAAGGAAGGTGGCAGAATGTTGGAAATAAGCTCAGTGCCTTAGATGCCCCCAAGGCAAAAGGCACTCCAGGGAAGTGCATGAGGATCAAGAAGGCTCAAGGGCCTGGTTTGCAAATAGTCATGGGCAATGTACATTTCAGAGGATTCAAATATGGACAAACTTTCTCAGGAAAGCCACACTTGGAGAATTCATAGATGTGTGACCCGTGGTTTGTGACGTTGTAAAAGGAGACAGTGCCCGCCTCACAATCAAGGAAAATCCCAACACGACTGGGAGGGACCTTCATGGAAAGAGACAACATCTTGGGTGTCTGGGAGTGAGTCTCCTCATCAAAAGCATGATACTCTGATTGATTCTGTAACCCTAGGCCCAAATGCAAAATCTAGGCTGTAATCCAGCATAAATATTTTGGTTATTAGGGGGGTTATTTACATTTCTTTGACAATGGTTTTCCCCACACACCCCCAGGATCCAGGAACTTTTGTTGGATACATCTACCTCCCAGTAATGTTTCCCATTCTTGAAAATTGGTGATCCCAGGACAGAGTAAACTCCATAATAGTTATTCGTATATGTTGTAACACCAGAAAAATCTCCATAACAGTAATTCGGATATGTTTTAACTGGAGTATTGTCCCACAAAGAATTCACTTCTCTCTTATTTGCAGAAATCGAACACTGCGTCCATTGCTGGTCTGATTCAAGGTGACATCAACTGAGAAAAATTAAAGTTTTGGGTGAGGGACATGAAGTATCTTTATACATGACATTGTGAGAAGAATCATGAGAATAACTTAGCAGGAAATGGAAAGAATTTTGGTTTTAGGGAGAAATAAAACACTGCAGACTCAGTCTGTGTATTAGAATGAGAAACAGTAGTTTTAAAATATGAGCTTTACTAGAAATCAAAAACTTCAGAAAGATGAAGTAAATAGAATGGAGAAGTTTGATGACACGAAGATTTATCCTTACCCCAGGAGCATCGCACCTTTGCCAGGTCTGAAATCATTAAAAAAAAAAAAACTAAGCTGGTAAATCTAAGCAAAGGCCACAGCACTGAACTCCATCTTCTCTCCAGATTAAGGGAAGTTCCTGGAACTATGGCAGGGAGTAAACTAGTAAATAAGGGTAGTGCTGACTCCTGGCCGATCCCCACTCAACAGGACATTTCCTCAGCCACGGTCTCCAGTGCCCCCAGCATCACTGTCCACACCTAAAAGCTGCGTTTCTTCCTCACTTGGTCCCTGCCATTGCAACACCCCCCAGTTGCCCACCCGGGTGACCAAGCCTCACCGGTAAGCCCTCGCAGCATCGCTCTCAGATCCGGAGCTTGGAACATACGTCTTGGTTGTTCGGGAAAAGTTTTTGGCTTCTTCAGAGTGAAATTCCAACACCTAGAATGAGAAAAATAGATCCCCACACCTCTAACATGTTGCCCTGTCAAAACTACTGACTTATCTCTTTACTCCAAGGAATGCACTTGAAGTCTTACCTGGAAACTATGAGAAAAAAAGAGTAAATGCTGACCTCAGAGTCAGGAAAAAAATGGGCTGATGTCTACCTCTGTGCGTCTCTGGGTACAACTTGACCTCTAAAGAGCAGTTGCTTCCTTACAAAGTTAAATCATTAATATGTCTCCCTCTACTTGCTACAAACCATATGAAAATATGTGTAATAATAGATTTGACAAAATAAAACTTTATTACCTTAAAAAAATAATGTGTGGAAAAGTCACCATATGCATTTGGGATCCAGAGAAAACCAGAAAGGAAGCCTCCAGAAATTGGCTCCTGGGTATCTGAGATACATCAAGTTTGGCAACACTCCCTGGAGACAACCAAGATTTCAAACTCTACTCCCCAGTAGGGAGGCCCTCAGAATAACATTTAAGAATCAGTCTCCCTGAGAATAATTGCAAACACTTGGGAAATACAGGATGATCTCCAGCCGAACAGTGGTCTGGATATTGTGTGTTCAGAAAGAGGTTGATGCTGCCAGGTAGATATGAATTTAAAGTAAGATGCTGCCTCTTGATACCTGGGGCCAGAGTGTGTGAGGAGATGAATCACTTTCTTACAGCAGGGCCCAAAAATCCCACGAGATGGTCTATGAAATTTAGATATAAAGGTATTGTTGCTAATTCTGGGTGCTTTGCAGAAAAAGAAGATCAGGGCTTCCCCTATGACAGTCAAGCACCTGAGATATGAAAGAACCCTAGATAGAAGCACACAGAGTGAATAAAATTTATGAGGTCATAGAGGTCTGTGACCACAGATAACGTAAAGGCTTGATTTTTTTTTTTTAGTTATTTTTTTCTTATATCATTGTAGTTCCCAAGGTTCTGCCACCCCCGTGTCACTTGTGAACCATCACCATATCCCCTTCTGCTTGTCCCTCCCGTTTTGACATCCTTCCTTCCGCCTGCTTTGCTATATGCCTCAGAGCTATGGTCAGCTTGCTAGTTTTGACTTTTTCTCCACTTTTCATTTGGTTTCTCTACATTCCACATATAACAGAGACCATCGGTATTTATCTTTTTCCTTCTCTTGATTTTGGCTAGCATAATCCTTTTCCTGCTCCATCTATATTGCTGCAAATAGTTTGTCTGTTTTGATCACTGAATAATAGTCCATTGTATATACCACAACTTTTTTTTTAAGATTTATTTATTTATTTATACAAAGCTGGGTAAGTTAGAGGTGTGGGAGGGTGAGAAAATTCACCAAGGCAGAGAGCAGAACAGGCAGATGGACGAAACACACTGCTTAGGGGAGCAGCAGGCGTGTCAGGAGAGGTCTGTGTGCCATGTGGGACCTTCGCCCGGTGGTCGGGGATCGAACCGGTGCTGCAGAGGCTGCGGGCAGCTTCGCAGCACAGCACTTAACTGCTGCACCACCAGGGAGGCCCTATACCACAACTTTTTGATCCATTCTTCTATTTTGGGGTATTTGGGTTGTTTCCATATCCTGGCTATGATAAATAGTGTGCAATAAACACAGGAGTGTATTTTCCTTTCAAATTAGTGTTTTTGTGTTCTTTGGGTAGATTCCTAGGAGTGGGATCACTGGATCAGATGGAGATAAGTTTTTAGTGTTCTAAGGAAGCTCCACACAGCTTTCCATAGTGGCTGCACCGGTTTACAATCCCCCAGCGGTGTAAGATTGTCCCTTTGTCCCGACATCCTGTCCAGCATTTGTCATTTCTTTTTTTTTTTTTCTGGTGCGTGCCATTCACACTAGAGTGAGGTGGTATCTCATTGTGGTTTTGATTTGGATTTCCCTGGTAACTACTGATGCTGAACATTTTATCATGTGCCCATGGCCATTTGTCAAATGCTTTATCTTTAAAGCTACTACTGACCCAAAGTTGTCAGCTTCCTTCCATCCCCATTCCTTTCCATAGCATCTGGTCCATTCTCAACCCATTTTTTATAAACAGAAATTTAAGAAAAAGTATACCCATATTTCCCTGCCCACAATGATGCTTCACTGTTAGTGAACACCAGAGTACTCTAAAAAGCATTAAACATCTCTCCACAGCACAAAAAGACCATCGCTGGCCTCCCACACATACCTTTGTATGATGTCAGGCACTTCCTAGGAGAAAAATAAAAAATAAATCAATTAATTAAAAAAAATCATGAGTCAAGAAGTAATAGGCTCTCCCCACTTATAAGGCCTCATAACATCTCCTCAGCCCCCTGATTAGATGGGGTAGAGTTGGTCCCATTGTCAGAGACAAATGCAGAGACAAGACCTAGGTCAGATATGTGATGCTGTCAGGTTTCTCAAGAGGTAGAAACATTTTTGACTCTTGTGGAAGTCAACTATGTATCTGGAGATGAGAGACATACTTGTAAGGAAAACTGGAAACCCATAATTTTATTCCCCAGATGCAGACTCCCTCTGAGATGATTGAATAATTAATGGGTCTTTTGTGTATTCAGCAGAAATGGAATGTGTATGCTACCATTTGTCAAGCTTTATGCCAGGCTTTGGGGAATTTAAAAAATATAATATTCTTCAATAAGTTTGCATGACTTTTATGAGGTGCACACAGACACAATTAATATAAGTGCTTTTCCTGTCTCTCTCTCCTCACATTAAACTCTCTACAAGTGACTTCATGCAGTCCCTTGAATTTTACATGCACATATGTGCAGCTGATTGACTATTTTTACTCAGTTTTTTCTCTAATCTACAGATTAATATTTTCATTAGAAAAGTAACAACAACCAGTAATTTAGAATGTCTCATCAGTACCTTCACCAAGCTGTTAAATCAATGCAATTTAAGAAAAAAAAAAGCACACAAACACATTCCAAGGGTAAACAGCAAAAAAATTGCAAAAACAGTTGAAAATAAGTTGGACTGAATGAAACTAAAAACGAAACAATACTAATATATGGAATACAGTTAAAGCAATACATTTATATTATTAAACACTACACCAGAAAACATGTTTTCTAAATTTCCATTTTAAGAAAGTAGAAAAGGAACAGTAAGCTAACCACATACAACACATACTATAATTATGTAGAGATCAGAAACAAATGATTAAACATAAAAGAAATCAACAAATATAAAAGTTTGCTCTATAAAAATATCAATAAAATCGACTAGACATAAACTAAGAAAAAAGGGAAAAAGAGAATCACCACTGTAAAAATAAAATGGGGTGGAAGAGAGCCAGCACTCTAGTGATTTTTTTTTTTAATGTTGTGGTCTGCAGAGAATTTCAATCTGCAAGTTCTCTCCCTTCTTCTTTCCTTCTCACATTATCCTTTAAATGTCTATATTTATTTTTGCACAATATAGGATCTCTCTCCTCAGGTGTGGTCACCTTAGTTTTCAACCACCAAAGTGCCCACAGCCTTCCCCCTCCCCACATGGGGATACCTCCCCAATCCCTTCTCTACCCTGACCCCCAACCTAGCACCCCCGCCCACACACACACAGGGTCTCAGAAAGACTGCAGTGACTTTCTGAAGGAACACATCCAAGGCAACCTAGGAGAGCTTCAGAGTCCTGCATCTCATGCACCACCAGGAGAGAACCCAGGAGAGAAACTGGGCCTTGGCATACAGTTTGAAAATGCAGGAGGGTGAAAATAAAAGGGAATGTCGGCATCACATTCCAAAACTTCAAACTATACTACAAAGCCATAATCATCAAAACTGCATGGTATTGGAACCAGAATAGACTCACAGACCTATGGAACCAAATAGAAAATCCAGATATAAGCTCACAGATTTATGGTCAACTAATCTTTGACAAAGGAGCAAAGACTATGCATTGGAGCAAAGAAAGTTTGTTCAATAAATGGTGCTGGGAAAACTGGGTCGCTACATGCAAAAGAATGAAGCTTGACCACTACCTCACACCATACACAAAAATCAACTCAAAATGGATTAAAGAACTAGACATAAGACCTGAAACCATAAAATATATAGAAGGAAATATAGGCGAAACACTACGGGATTTGCACATCAAAGACATCTTCACAGACACATCACCCAAAGCAGTGATAGTGAAGGCAAAGATCAACAGCTGGGACTACATCAGATTAAAGAGCTTCTGCACAGCAAAAGAGACAATAACAAAAACAAAGAGAAACCCCACCAACTGGGAGAATATTTTTGCACCCAACACTAATGATAAAGGACTGATCACAAAAATCTGCAAAGAGCTGATGAGACTCAGCAACAACAAAGAAAATAATCCTGTCAAAAAATGGGCAGAAGAGCTAAAAAGAAACTTCTCTGAAGAGGAAGGCAAATGGCCAACAGACATATGAAAAAATGTTCAACATCACTTGTCATCAGGGAAATGCAAATCAAAACTACCATGAGATACCATCTCACACCAGTGAGAATGGCACATATTAAAAAAACTAGCAACAACAAATGTTGGCGAGGGTGTGGAGAAAAAGGAACTCTTCTGCACTGTTGGTGGGAGTGCAAACTGGTCCAACCACTATGGAGAGCTGTGTGGAGATTTCTGGACCTACTAAACTAGAGCTTCCATATGATCCAGCAACTCCACTCCTAGGTATTTACCCAAAGGACACAGAAACATCAATTCAAAGAACACCTGCACCCCTATGTTTATAGCAGCACTGTTTACAATAGCTAAGCTTTGGAAACAACCCACATGCCCAAAATAGATGACTGGATCAAGAAGATGTGGTACATATATACCATGGAATATTACTCAGCATTCAAAAAAGATAAACACATGCGATTTGCAGCAACATGGATGGCACTGGAAGGGATCATGCTCAGCGAAATAAGCCAAAAAGAAAAAGAAAAATACCGGATGGTCTCACTCATAGCAGGAATCTAGAAAACTTAAATAAGGGACCAGAAAATGAATATAAGAAAGTGAAAATCAAAATCAACAAAAAACTATGAACCAGAGACACTTTTTGGGGGGTGGGGACGGGAGGGGAAGGATTGGGGTCAGAATGGGGCGTTTGCAATTGTATGGGGAATATAAAAATAAAATTTATTATTTAAAAAAAATAAAAATAAAACTATTAAAAAAAAAAAAAAAAGAAAATCAACAAGCAACAAGCAACTCTAAACCAGAGACACACTAGGGGGCGTCGGGGAGGGAAGGGGAGAGGAAGAACTAGGGTCAAAATAAGGGGGTGGGGAGGAATTGTATGGGGAATATAACCAAAATGAAAATGCATACATTGAGCAAAATGAAAAATGATGTAAGAATTATATAAAATAAAATATTAATTTAAAAAAAACAGGAAGGTTGCCAGTCCTGCTTCTGGATGGTCTACCCCTTTTTTTTTGTGGGGGGTGTCCTACTTCAGATTGCTACTGTTGTTGCTTAGGAGGCTTTTAGCTGCCTCCCTCCTACACCTGCTGTTCTCTTTTGCCTTCCAGCACTTTGGCAAACCAATTAAAACCTTTTCAGCACACCATTTGGGTTGCTTTGCCTTTATGGACCAGGTAACCGAGAACCCCTAGAATAGACAACATGGGTTATTCCTCTATTCAGTTTGGAGTCCCTGTGAAAAACCTTAGTTTTGCTTGGTATCAAGGAGACATTACAGTGAATATTGTAGGACTTGAAGGGATGATAAAGAATTATTATGAGTATCTTTGCATCTACAAAGCACACAACTTAGAGAAACTCCTATGAAGACACACATTGCCAAAAACGGACACAAAAATTATTAAAAATTAAACAAATAAATTATATATATATTTAGTTACATACATATATAATTATATATACACATATATGTACCCTTTCAACACAAAAAGGTTCAGAATGAGACATCATTTTGTGAATTCCACTGATTAAAAATAAATACCAGGCCTTCAACAATTCTTCTCAGAAAATAGAAAATCAAGGGGGAAAATCTCTACTCATTCTATGAGGGGGAAAAAATGCTTGTTAAGACTCTGAAGTGCATCTGTTCCTCTGGACTAAGCTTCATTCAATTTAACTAATAAATGTGTAACACTAGCACACAATAACAGAGGGATATCAAATACACCTGAATAAAATGCATCTTCAATCCAAGCTCACACAATTGCACTGTACTTGATACATTAATAAAAACGAGGTTTTCCCCTTGTTATTTATGCATTTACTTATTCCTATAAATGCAGGAAGCACACTGCAGAGCAGAAGAACCTTAGTGTCACACCAGAAAGAGCACAGCAATACAGAAGGGGAGGGAAATCTGCCCCCATGGTTCTCATGTGTCAGATGCTGGGGCTTCTTTTGAGATCTTACTGTAACAGGGTGGTCCCCAGGAAAGGGGGAGGTTCTAAGTTCCCTGCCCCACCAAAGCAGGGTGGAGCTAAAGAGAAGAGAAGGAAGGAAGCAGGATGGACCCACAAGGAGCCCTGGAGGAGGCACATGGAGCAGAAAGACGTGAAGAAACTGCACTTGCCTTTTGGTCGTGGACTGGGTGACACAGATATGGGTGAGAGACCCGTGGGAAGGAGACGGTGGCAGCTTTTACCGTGATTTTGGTTTTGTTCTTTTCCTTCCAGACTTGTCTGGTGGTTTGATCCTTTTCTGTGGGTTCCCACTGAAAGTTGCTTTGAACTTGTGCCAGGCTTTGAGGCCTTGCTCTGGGCCTATCCTATTTGGGGGGGCTTTTACCCACATGGGGATGGGTAACTGTGGGTGCTTGATTTGAAAACTATATTCTCTGTCTTTCCTGTATTGTTTACTAATTGTATTAAAGTTCCTTTTCATTAGTCTCATGTGTTTAGTGTTGATGCAGCGGATGGCAGAACCTATTTAGAGCAGGCAGGTTTGCGGGGTCTGGGCTGCCCCCTCCCTGCCCTGTAACATTACCTGCAGCATGTCTATGTCTGACGCTTCCAATCGATGCTCCAGATCTGAGATGAGAACGTCTATCAACTGGCTCTGCTGAACAAGCTCACTTTCATCCTCTGCCAGTTTATGGAGAATGATTTCTTCCTCCTTATTCAGGTTTTGCAGCTCCTTCTGCTCCGCCGAGTCCAGGAGACCTCTCAGTTCTGCAAAATCTGCCTGGACACGTTGTCTCTCACTTTGTATTTGACTCTTAGGGAGAAAAGAAAGGCGGTACTCAACCCATCAGGCAGAGACTAGGAACCAGAACCAGCACCACTGTAAATGGAAAGTAATCACAGCAAAGTGAGACAGAGCAAGAGAACAATTCTTAAAGAGGCTCTTCACCTACTACTTCCCCTCTATTATATTCCAAAATAATTCCCTCACGTCTGCAGCACTGAGTCCAACCCTGAGTCAAACAGAGCAACAGGCTAGTCTCCACGTTCACACAGCTGGACTACTCCTGACCGCACCACTCACCCTCTGCCCACGTGGCACACTGGCCCAGAGCCAGAGCCATGGCAAAAGGCTTCCCCCAGGAGAGTCAAAGACTCAAACACATGATGGGAATGGAACAGAGTCTGCACTGCCGTCCTGGCCAGTGTCCTCCACATGAATCTTCCCTCCAAAGACCCATTCACCTGTGCCAGGTTCACTTTTCAATCCCCTCCTCTATCAGGGAAATGATGAAAAGGATAATCAAATGACTTTGCGATATGTTAATGATCCGATAACAAAAGGGTAGGAAGTTCCTCCTGTTATCACCCAAATTCTACCAGATTTCTGTCTAAATCCCTCAGAAAGAGCCTCCTCCTACCTTCCAGGAAGTTGTCCTTTCTTTGACTTCAGCTTCCAAATGTCCAGATTCCTGCAGCTTTTCCCTCATCTGCTCAAGGGTGCCCTGGAGCTTTCCTGTGAGAGGGGAATCAAGCCAGAGTCAAGCAATGGGCTTTCTCAACATCTGAATACAGGTCATGGAGGAAGTAATCAGATGATCTCTAAACTAAGAGTCTCTAAATAAGTCTCTAAATAATGATCTCTAAATAAGAGTCACAGAAACTGAAATATCATGAGAACCTTCGACTTAGAGGAAAATCTGAAGTGTGAACGTATTTAGTCTCAGGCAGAAGTCTGAGAGAAGTCACCATCCCTTCCCCAAGACAGGATGACTCTATTGTCCTAGAGGAGAAATTTGATCCTGCAGCAAAGAAGCAACATCTCAATCTACCCAGTCCCTCAGTTACACTTCATGTGCAAAGGGAATGATGGATTTTCATGGGACTAGCACCCCTCCCCCATTAACACATGGTTCAAAACACCTACTTCTGACTATAAATAAGTCTCTTGTAACCATGCTGAAGGCACAGAAATGTCCTCCGGAAAGTGAGCCTAGTATTTCTCTTTACACCAAAAGGTTTAGATAGGATTTTTCCAAGCTAGAAAATTTCAATTTGTGTCCGCTTATTAGGTAGAACTAAGGTAAATCAAATTTTTGTGAGTCTCATGAGGAAGTGTTATCTTAAAGAGATGACATAGAATTAACAACATCTCTAGAAATAAACTTTAAGATTTATTTATGCACAGAAGAACTGGGTGTAGGCCAGAGGTGAAGGGGGTGAGAGCATTCACCAGAAACAGAGTGGGGAGCAGAACAGGAGAATCTGCTGAAATACACTGCTGAGGGGGGCAGTGGGCGAGACAGAAGTCTGCTGTGCCATGTGTGGGTCAGCTCCCCGGCCCATGATCGAACTCAGACCATTGTGATGATAGGGCTGAGACTTAACTCCTACGCCACCAGGGAGGCCTCTAGAAAAACACTTTTCACGGTAAAACCTATCTTAAGCAAGGCAAATATCTAAAGGCAAGGTTGTATCACATGAAATTGTCCCCTCCTGGTCCCAGAGACCTCCTCCTCCCTCCTTGACACCCCAGGCTCCTAACCCATCCTTAACAGAGGTATAAATACTGGATCTGGGCCTCCCTCGTGGCACAAGGGCTAAAGTCTCAGTGCTATCAAGTCATCCCCAGCCACTGAGGCATGAGTTCAATCCCCTGCCAGGGAGGTGACCCACATGGCACAGCAGACCTCTCCTGTCTCACCCACTGCTCCAATTGCAACAGGGTGGTCCCCAGGAAAGGGGAGGTTCCAGGTTCCCTGCCCCACCCAAGGAAGGGTGGAGCTGAGCAGGAAGAGGAGAAGAGGCAGAAGAGACTGAGGAAGGAAGCAGGATGGAGCCAGGAGACCTGGAGGAGGCACATGGAGCCTAGAGACACGTGAAGAAAACTGCGCTGTCTTTTGGTCGTGGACTTGTAACAGGGTTGGTCCCCAGGAAAGGGGGAGGTTCCCTGCCCCACCCAAGGGAGGGTGGAGCTGAGCAGGAAGAGGAGAAGCTGGAGAAGAGACTGAGGAAGGAAGCAGGATGGAGCCAGGAGACCTGGAGGAGGCACATGGAGCCTAGAGACACGTGAAGAAACTGCGCTTGTCTTTTGATCGTGGACTAGGTGACAAAGATGTGGGTGAGACCCGTGGGAAGGTGACAATGGCAGCTTTTATCTTGATGTTGATTTTGCTCTTTTCCTTCCGGGCTTGTCCAGTTGTTTGTGACCCTTTCTGTGGGTCCCCACTGGAAGATGCTTTAGACTTGTAGCAGGCTTTGGGGCCTTGTTCTGGGCCAATCCCATTTGGATGGACTTTTACCCACGAGGGGACGGGTAACTTTGGGTGCTTCATTTAGAAACTAGATTATTTGCCTTACCTGTATTGTTTCCTAGTTTTATTAAAGTTCCTTTCATTAAAGTCTCCTATGTTTGTGTTGATGCGGCGGATGGCAGAACCCATTTAGAATAGGCAGGTTTGCGGGGTTTGGGCTGACCCTTTTCCTGTCCTATAACAGATTTGGCGTCCAATGTGATTTAGGACAGAGCCATCCGTGGTTAGTCAGCCCCATGGGAAACTGGGCTTCCCTATGGCACTGGCTACCATAAGCGCAAATGTGATTTTTGGTTTCTCTAGTGTGTTTGTTTCATATAACATATTTGCTGTTGAAAAACTGGCTTGGGCTTTGTGAAGATTCTGTGTGTTTGTGTGTAATTTGTTTGTAGTGACTTGCTAAGAGATTTTGATTTTGTGGAAATTGTTCTGTGCCAGTTTTACTCAAAAGATTAGGCAGTACATTGGACCATGTGGCCAGATCAAAGATGGCGTCTGAGGCCACTTGGAACTTTTTTTTTTCTTTCTTTTTGTAATCTCTGCTGTCTCATTAGCATTTCTAAAGGCAATAATGGTTCTTCGGTGGTATGTTGCTTTGTCTTTGACTACTTCCTGCCCTGTGTCTGACCGTTTTGCAAGCCAACTGTGGAGCATTGGTGTTTTAATTAGCAAATGTATGCCTGGGTGTTAAGGAAAGAGTAGCCTTAAGCAGTAACTGGTAATCGCTGGTATTCTTGATGGATTCTTGGAGATAACTTGATTTTTGCAAAGTCTGGATCAGAAAAATTAACAAGATTTTGTCTGAGTCTGAAAGGATTTTCTGCTGTGAATTTTGTCTACACAATTTTTTTTGGGCATGTTTGCCATTTTGAATACTGGATTTGTTCAATTGCTGGTGTAAGACAAGATTCTAAGTTTCTGCTTCCTACTGAGGAAGGTCTGTTGTGGAAAGCACTCTTTAGGGTGCATCATGTAACTGTACCAGGTTTTCATACCTGTGTTGTTGTTGTCCCTCCCTAGTGTGGGGGAGGTGTAATCTGTGTTTAGATGTTTAATCTGCTCTTTCAGCTTCTGTCCCAGAGTGGCTAACAGAAGTAAGGAGATGACTCCTTTTAATTGAAAGTTAATTACTGATATTTTGATTTTGCTTTTTCAGGTTCTATTCCAGGAAACCCAAGGAGTGCCTGCTTGGTGGCTAACAAGAGATGACTCCTTTTGCTTGAAAGTTAACTTTTATTCTTTCAGTTGCTGTACAGAATACCCCAGGATTGACTTCTAACAAAAAGTCTTCAACACTGAAAACCCTAAGTTGATAAACAAGGTCATGTAACTCTTGTGATTAATAAAACTTTTCCTTTCCATTTCTAAAGTCTTAGGTTTGCAGGATGACAACCGGAAATTTTTCTGCCACCAACACTCCACATTTTTTTGGACTTTGACTTTTTTTTTCTGAGCCTATGGAGTAAAACTGCAGTTACATAACATATTCTACGTGGCATAACTAAAAAAAAAAACTGTCTTTGTCTATACGTTGTATGTCTGTATGTCCTTGTGTCTAACTGTCTTGACCTCCAGTGATTGACAGATTGGTATACATGGTGCCCATAGACGTTGAAAAAAAAAAAAAAGTCTCCGGTTATGAGAAAAACAAAAAGTTATGGTTTGATTGTCAACATTGTGCTACTGAACTAAGCCGGTGCCTTCATAGAGATTGAATATTGTTGTTTCTGTTAATTTTCTGATATTTATGGCAAAGCTTCCCAAAAATCTAAATTCAAATACAAATTTGGTAGCCTGTCATTTGACTGATGCAAGGAAATTTTGTGGAACCTCAGTAGAGCTCCTGAGACACTCCACGAAGTTTCTCCCTTTCCTCCTGGGAAGGCATTAGATGAATTTGTTCTATTTGGATTTTACCTAATGAAGTAAAACTGGAAGGGAAGCATTGTCACTTGGGAAAATGGTAAAAACTTTGGTATGTACAATATGTTAACAGTAGTATCGGGTATGTATGTAAATTGTCAGCGGTGATTGTCACCTTGTAATATTGTATAATTCAATTGTTTCACATCTACAGAAATTGTTTCTGGAAATATAGGGAGAAAAGGTCTCAACAGATTCCTATTGATGGAACTGTTGAGAGTAAAACTTTCTTACAAAGGACTCAATAGACCTGGAAATACACCTGACATTTACTAAGGTTTCTTTGACATAATACTGGAAATTTTTTTTTTATGCATTCTGTCCTGAATCCACGAAATTTTTGTTTTGTTTTGTTTTGTTTTGACTAACCAGGATCTGCAGAAAGGTTGTAATTTTTTTCCAGCAAAGCTAACTTGTCACATTTTCTCTCCCCTTGATACCAACACAGCATACAAATAGTGGTAGTAATTTTTGCTACTTATTTCAGAGTCTGTTTTTGCATAACTTCCATAGGGATTTTGTCTGTTTTAACGAAAATTGGACGTGAGTTTGATTGTGTGGTTTTGTGTGGAGTTCTTCCAAAAAGTTGAAAAAGAGCTGAACCAAGAAGAGGAGAACCTGTTTGCCTTGTTTGTAGGGTTCCAGAGACCTCCAAAGAAGGTGAGGAAGCTTGCCTCCATTGGCAGGACTGGACAACCCGGCCAACGAAAAAGCCCTGGTACCCTCGAGAAGAGGAAAGCCCAGGTGGAGTCTGATGAGACCAACTTTATACCTGAAGCTAACATCGACTGGATGCCACCGGTTCGCTCTGATCCTGTATGGAGTATTTCAACAAAGCCAGCTAAAAATTGCTGTTAGTTATTTTCTGCCCTGTGATTTTATGCAAAAATAGGAAAAATGGTATAAAGATAGATTTAATTTGCAAACTTTTGCTATGCTGTTAAAGTTTGGGATCAAGGTTGAGAGAATTCGTTTTGCATAAGTTGAACCATTTTGACATTTTTTCCCTGTGATTTTGATATATTTGCTATCTTGTTTTAGCCAATGCTCCAATTTTTTTTTTCTTTTGGCTTGGATAATGGATTATTTTTAAGTAATGAAAACTGTCATACTGGACATTCATGGACAATGCTGCTGACTAATTGTTGCTTCTCTTACACACATTGTAACCCTGAAAAAACACTGTCTCCTAACATTGCACCATGAGATCTGTGCCACCATAGATATGGTGGAATAAAAATTAAAAGGGGGGATTGTAACAGGGTGGTCCCCAGGAAAGGGGGAGGTTCCCTGCCCCACCCAGGGAGGGTGGAGCTGAGCAGGAAGAGGAGAAGAGGCAGAAGAGACTGAGGAAGGAAGCAGGATGGAGCCAGGAGACCTGGAGGAGGCACATGGAGCCTAGAGACACGTGAAGAAACTGCGCTTGTCTTTTGATCGTGGACTAGGTGACAAAGATGTGGGTGAGACCCGTGGGAAGGTGACAATGGCAGCTTTTATCTTGATGTTGATTTTGCTCTTTTCCTTCCGGGCTTGTCCAGTTGTTTGTGACCCTTTGCTGTGGGTCCCCACTGGAAGATGCTTTAGACTTGTAGCAGGCTTTGGGGCCTTGTTCTGGGCCAATCCCATTTGGATGGACTTTTACCCACGAGGGGACGGGTAACTTTGGGTGCTTCATTTAGAAACTAGATTCTTTGCCTTACCTGTATTGTTTCCTAGTTTTATTAAAGTTCCTTTTCATTAAAGTCTCCTATGTTTTGTGTTGATGCGGCGGATGGCAGAACCCATTTAGAATAGGCAGGTTTGCGGGGTTTGGGCTGACCCTTTTCCCTGTCCTATAACAGACTGGGTGACACAGATGTGGGTGAGACCCGTGGGGAGGTGACCATGGCAGCTTTTATCTTGATGTTGATTTTGCTCTTTTCCTTCCGGGCTTGTCTGGTTGTTTCTGACCCTTTTCTGTGGGTCCCCACTGGAAGATGCTTTAGACTTGTGGCAGGCTTTGGGGCCTTGTTCTGGGCCAATCCCATATGGATGGACTTTTACCCACGAGGGGATGGGTAACTTTGGGTGCTTCATTTAGAAACTAGACTCTTTGCCTTACCTGTGTTGTTTCCTAGTTTTATTAAAGTTCCTTCCCATTAAAGTCTCCTATGTTTTGTGTTGATGCGGCGGATGGCAGAACCCAATTAGAATAGGCAGGTTTGCGGGGTTTGGGCTGCCCCTCTCCCTGTCCTATAACACATTCAGCAGTGTATTTCAGTCAATCCGCCTGTTCTGTTCCCCACTCTGTCTCTGGAGAGTCCTCTCCCCCCCCCCACACTACTGGATTGTACCCCAGCTCTTGTGTGCATAAATAAATAAATCTTTAAAAATAAATAAAAAATGGATCTATCCCATTTTATTTCAGTATTTACAATGATGTAAATTCTCCATGTGTATGTTATTAAATATGGTCTTTTTCTCCTTCCAATCTGTCTGATATTAATCTCGTTGCTCATCCAGCCCTAGAACTTAGAGCAGTGGGGGAATCTTCCCCTGTATCATCACCACAGGAAGAAAAGAGATCACAGACCACTGAGCTATGGTGACAAGGCAACGAAGAGATTTCCCATCAACTATATATTCTGCTGTTTTAACTGCATTCTGCTCTCCTACCTGGTACTCCTGGACAATCTCCTCAATGAGGAAGGTCTGGTGACCACGGTGCTCCTGAGACCGCTCACAAAGCCAGCAAATGACTTTCCCATCTTGCTTACAGAATAGCAGGAGTTTCTCTCCATGGCGCACACAGAGCTCTTTCTTCTGCTCCCCCTCCGGGCTCATCTTGACTCCTCTGAGCTGCTCTGCTATGTTGGCCAGATGCCGATTAGGCCGCAGTTGTCCAGGCTCATAACCGATTCTGCACACAGGGCAGCTGCTCTTCTCTTCCTGGGTTGCCGCGGACTCCTTGTTGTTTGTAGTGATGCAGACTTGGCAGAAGCTGTGGCCACAGTCTAGGCTTAGGGGCTCTTTCAAGAGGTCCAGGCAGATGGGGCAGGTCACCTCCTCCTGGATGTTCACTAAGATGTTTGATGCCATAGCTGTTGCCCGCTGCTGCTCACTATCCTGGCTTGAGTCTCTTGCTCACAGATCCCTGTATATTTGAGAAGGTTGTATTGGAACAAATGAGAAAGCCAGGATACAATTCTAATTGTATAGAAAACAAGGATAGATAAGATAAAATATTTAAGAAAAAAAAAAGGGGAGGGCCTCCCTTGTGATGCAAGGGGTTAAGCACAGCACTATGAAGCTATCTGCATCCATCCACTGCAGCAGAGTTTGAGCTCTGGCCCAAGCACCTACCCACATAGTGCTGACCTCTCCTGTCTCACCCACTGCTCCCCCTCAGCAGTGTATTTCATTAGAGCCTCCTGTTCTGCTCCTCACTCTGTCTTTGGTGAATCCTCTCACCCCTCACCTCTGACCTGTACCCCAGAATTCTTGTATGCATATATAAATAAATCTTTAATAAAAAAATAAAAGGAAGGAGACAAGGAAGTGCATGCAGTTCCTGGACTCCAAGCGGCTTGATCCTCATCTCCATAAGGAAAGCATCATCTTGAAGAACAGAGTTAGGCAGAAAAGGAAGACATTTATTATCTAGTTGAATCTGTTATCTGTGGAGTCCGGGAGCCAGCCACCCTTGGCTGAATATCTGTTTTTATGGAATGTGCAGATGGCATTACCCTGGGCCCACAAAGATATTGTTTATGGTGTGGTGTCATTATTAAAGTTAAAAACTAGACCCCCCCCATCCTTGTTCAACAGGCAAATTGGGGAGGCTTGACTGGATAAGGCTGTGGGTGGGGCGACCTTGGGAACTGGGCTGTTAAGCTGAAGATACAGATGCAGAGTCAGGACACACCCAAGACTAGTCACCCAACCAATCAATGGTGCTTGGAGTAGAAACAGCCTCAGGCCCTCTCATCTGGCCCGCTGCTCCTCTCACTTGTGTATTTCAATAAAATCTCCTTTTCTGAAGAAAAATACCGGATGGTCTCACTCATAGCAGGAATCTAGAAAACTTAAATCTAAGGGACCAGGAAAAAGAATAACTATATGAAAGAAAATATCAAAATCAACAAACAACTATGAACCAGAGACACTCTATGGGGGGTGGGGGTGGGGAGGGAAGGGATTGGGGTCAAATAAGGGGGTAGCAATTGTATGGGGAATATAAAAATAAAATTTATTATTAAAAAAAGAAAAAAAAATCTCCTTTTCTGTTCTCTAGTCTGTCTCTGGTGAAGTCTTTCATCCCCCAGACTAGGGCCCACTCCCCAACTCTTCTCTGCAACATGTGGATCAGTTTATATTAGTCCCTGTTTTAGGCACGGTTTAGAAAGCCCTCTCAAGGCTGGGCAGGTGACCCTAACTGCCTACTCGCCCAACTTACTTCCTCCTTCACTTGGTGATGGGTAAATACAGTTTGCATAATAATGTCATTACAGCACCCCCCCCCTCAACCTGGTCCTTGTTTGTTACCTTCCTGTTGCTGAAAAACTAAAGAGCTGGGATGCGCTTTCCCTTGTCATAGTATAACAGGGTGGTCCCCAGGAAAGGGGGAGGTTCCAGGTTCCCTGGCCCACCCAAAGGAGGGTGGAGCTAAAGAGAAGAGAAGGAAGGAAGCAGGATGGAGCCAGAAGGAGACCTGGAGGAGGCATGTGGAGGCGAGAGACACGTGAAGAAACTGCACTTGCCTTTTGGTCGTGGACTGGGTGACACAGATGTGGGTGAGACACCTGGGGAGGTGACAATGGCAGTTTTTGTCTTGACTTTGATTTTGCTCTTTTCCCTCCAGACTTGTCTGGTTGTTCCTGACCCTTTTCTGTGGGTCCCCACTGGAAGACGCTTTAGACTTGTGGCAGGCTTTAGGGCCTTGCTCTGGGCCAACCCCATTTGGATGGAGTTTTACCCACGAGGGGACTTATAACTTTGGGTACTTGATTTAGAAACTAGATTGTTTGCCTTTTCTGTATTGTTTCCAAGTTGTATTGAAGTTCCTTCCCATTAAAGTCTCATGTTTTGTGCTGATGCTGCAGATGGCAGAACCTATTTACAGCAGGCAGATTTGTGGAGTCTGGGCTGCCCCTCTCCCTGCCCTGTAACAATAGGAGGGTGTTAATGTGAGACCAGATGAAGCATCTATGGGTGCTTAAAGGCCCTGAAACCCAAGCTAGAAAACCCAAGCCCAGCCATTACCCTACTTCCCACTAGCCCGGTCCCATGATAAGCCTCATAAAACCAGGATCCTTGATGCTCTCAACTAGGGAGTGTGGCTCATGGTGGCTGCTGCCTGACCTCTTCTAGTGTGACCACAATAAATGTTTCTCACTTGAAACCAGTGACTGTTTTTTCAAGATTTATGTATAATGGATTGGAGGAAACCAGACAAAACCCTACAGAACCGGTAACAATTTAACACACTTTACTTGCAGCTTCTGTTGCATTGTGAGTGCACAACCTATGGGTATTTTGGGATCCCCCAGAATTCTACTTTCTAAAGGATCTAGTCATCCCATGATGGAGGCTAAGCATAGAAAAAAGTAGAAAGGAAACCCACAAGATCAGAAACCTGGCTCACAAAGCCAAGAGCTGGAGGTAGGGTTAGAAGGGATTAACCTAGCCATTAACCCAGTATAGGAGCTAAGATCCTTAGGAGCCAAAGCCTAGATCACAAAGCACAAGACACAAGCAGGTAGGGGGTGTCAGGGGAAGAGATTTAAAGGTAAACATACAGAGATTAGGGCCATAGTAGAAATCTGTCCCCTTTCAAATTCCACATAGTTTATTCCAAGTCAATAACAAACAACCACTCCAGGAAGGAGTGACCCTCCCAGAGAGAAGACTCCATCAGGGCAGTCTCTGCACTGGCTGGGGCAGCACTCCCCTTGCCCACCTGTGACTATGCAGGTGCTCCTTTTCACCAACTCTCTTCCTCCGCAGGGCAGCAGCTTCCTGCCTGCCCGTGACAGGTACCTGCCAGGACTTCCCCTCACTGACCTCCCTCAGCAGAGGCAGCTCTCCTCAAGGCTGCCTGTCTGCAACATGCAGGTCTCTGTCTTAGCAAACTTGTCCCTTTTGGGGCAGCACCTTCTTCTTGCATGTGTCTATCTATGTAATTGCCCTTTATTCTTCTCTCCCTTTTATAATAAACCTGCTCTTTAAATATAACTAACATCATGTCTCATGAGAAACTGGCCCAGGAAACTCGCCGCGAGCCTCTGAAGGTGGAGCTCTGGTGACACCTTCTCCAGAGTGAACCCAAGAGCCCCGCCCTCCAAACCCAACAACTGCAAAAACCACATCATGTACACACAAAGGCAAAGCAAACCTTCAGTGGAATATCACTTTAATAGAATTAGTGTGCAGAGGGTGAGAAAAGAAAGGATATTTCTAAACAAAATTGTCCATCCACTAATGGGTAAATGTCCAAACAAGGTTGACTTAAAGTGGGGCCACTGAGGCCCAAAACCGTGCTGCCCATCTAAAGTACCTTCAGGCAGGGAATCACAGAAAAACTGTTCTGAAGCAGGTCTGCTGCAGGAGGCCTTGTAGCCCCAGCCAGATAAACTACTGGCAAGCAGCGAAGCTCAAAGGGCCTCACACCGTGGGGGCGGAAGTTAAAGGGCCTCACACAGTGGGGCCGAAGATTCCTTGTGCCTCACACCGTGGGGCTGAAGATCTAAGATCCCTTCACTTTTTGTTCTTGGTCATAAAAGGAGAAAAATTTCCCAAAAAGTACATTAGGCGCTACATTATATGCATCAGTATACTGTAAATAAACAGCATGGAAAATTATCTCTTAAAAACTAATTATTAAACAATTTGGCCCACTTGACAATGGGAGACAAGTTATTGAACATGCCTGACAAGCATTACAATACAACTATTATTCTAAGTCCTTCTTTTGCCTTCCCTTGAAGTTTCTTGGGAAAGTTCTTAAATGAAGCTATTTGCGTTAAGGAGTTTCTCGGTAGAGGAAGTTCTGATAGCTGAGTAGCAGCCGGCCCCTGGTGTGAAGGCCATGAGAATAAAAAAAGTCCTTTCTTTGCTTAGGCTTTAGCTGATAGGAATGTACTGAGGGCTATCCATTGTCTTAGGTTATTGTTTAGCTGAAACAATGAATTTTAGTGTAAGACTTAGTTTTTTATTAACCTTGAAGGTTGCCTTCTTGCTGAGAGCACAGAAAAAGAGTTGCACTAATTGTTTCTGCTTTGTTTTTATGCACTTGATAATGTAATCTCAATGCTTGCAAAAAATGTATAAATAAAGAACCTGCTGAGCCTTTCGGCAGAAGATACTAACACCTCACCAAGTGTCGGTGTCTCCTCATTCCCTTCCCCTCAGTCCCTAAGTTTCAGATCATTTGTTTTCCCCGAGGCTGTCTCATCCTTTCAGGAACCCCTGACACGACATTTTGCCAGAGGCTGGTCCCTGGCAGAGGTCGATGTTGCCAGGCAGGCATGAATTTAAAGTAAGATGCTGCCTCTTGATACTTGGGGCCAGAGTGTGTGAGGAGATGAATCACTTTCTGACAGCAGGGCCCAAATATCCCACGAGATAGTCGATGAACTATAGATATAACAGTATTGTTGCTAATTCTGGGTGCATGGTAGAAAAAGAAGATCTGGGCTTCCCCGTGTAAAGTCAAGCACCTATGATATGCAAGAACCCTACATATAAGCACACAGAGTGAATAAAATTTATGAGGTCACAGAGGTCTGACAACACAAAGGCTTGATTTTTTTTTTTTAGTTGTTAACTTTTTTCTTATATAATTGTAGTTCCCATAGTTCTCCCACCCCTGTATCACTTGAGAACCGTCACCATATCCCCTTGTGCTCTTCCCTCCTGTTTTGACCTCCTTGTGCCCACCTGTGACTATGCAGGTGCTCCTTTTCACCAACTCTCTCCCTCCGCAGGGCAGTAGCCTTCATGCCTGCCTGTGACCTGTACCTGCCAGGACTTCCCCTCACTGACCTCCCTCAGCAGAGGCAGCTCTCCTCAAAGCTGCTTGCCTGTAACCATGCAGGTCTCTGTCTTAGGAAACCCATCCCTTTTGGGGCAGCACCCTCTTGCTGCATGTGTCTA